TGACCATTAAATACACCATCTTAAAATGTGACCACATTTTCAGCATTCATTCATTTATTTTGAATAAGCTGTATTTTCATGAGGCCATAGGTTTGCATTCATTATTATTCTAGGATAAGCAAACCCCTTATCCTACAGGGAGGATATCTGGTAGTTTTTCTGAGGCCATTTAATTTTTGTACTACTCCCCCCTCCCCGACTCCATGGAGCTACTCACCCTTTCAGTAAAGGTAGTGTTTGCGGTTGCACCACATCTGTTTCCTGTTGTAGTCTATATTCTCACTGTGGTTTGCAGTATTCAGAATGGCCTCAGAATGTGAAACCCACACCGCATTGTGGTTAAAAGCAACATAAACCGCTGGAGACACTGCTTCATAGGAGCCGAAGGTGGGTTTCTCCTATGGGGGATTCTGCGGGGATAGACTTTGCTGTGATGAGCTGATCCGGCTGGGACTGGAGAAGGGGAATGAATGCATAAAGCGGTATCAGCTGGGACTCGGTTGTCACCTGAATTTCAGTATGTGAAAAGATGATGCTGAAATCCTTTGAAATTGGTTGATTAGCAATTGTTTCTTTTTCCTTGTGCTTATTATATGTATCATCCCTATATCCCTTGCCGCTTTCCTTCTGCCTTACACCAAAGTGTTTGGTTCGGTAGCCTAGTGATGAAATTCTATTCAAATCTCCTAAATTGCAGCCAAAGCGAATGCAGACAGCGTGGTGCCATGGAACTACTCATATGATGGTGCCCGGCTGCTAGTGGACAGATGTTTATATTTAGTAATATTGCACAGATGTGCTCAGGTAAGATTGCGGTGGGAGCAGGGTGGCGGGTATGTGTAAGTACTTTCAGATAGGCACCTGTTTTGTCTAGGTGACATAAAGCTGTCTTTCAAAATAACCTGTATGTGGCAAAACAAAAATTAATTAAAAGCAGATACTTACTCCGTAAGTCCTCCCTTCTCTTTTCCTGACTTTCTTTCAGTATAAGAGGAAGCTTATTTGTACAGCTCCCCTTTTAAAGTTTGCCAAAGAAAGCTCATCCTCACGCCATACACCTTCCAACTAATTCTCTTTGCCAGTAGTTAAGCACCCTCTTAAATACAGAATTTCCTTCCTTCTTTAAGTACAAGGCAAAAAATGTAGTATCTCAAGATACTGCTTTGTGATAGTGAAGTTTTAGTGGTTATTACTGTGTGGTTTCAGTTGATTGACTTTGTGACATCCATCCATTCTGTGTCTCTCTTTGGTCTGCTTAGCAAGCACTAATTGCCATATATTAATTAGTTGCAAACAAATGGCTTGTCTCTGTAGTTTAAGGGGGAGGGGGAAACAAGTCATCACAGAAATGTAAGATGACTGTGTTATGGTTAGAAAACGGGATGGTAGGCAAAAAGGGATGACCGGTTTTGCTTGGTGGTGATGGTTTCTTGAAGGGATGGTGGGCTTAAGGACTATAACTTGCAGTTTATCTTACAGATGTTGAATCTGTGTCCCTGGTTCTCAAGTTAGCCATTAGCCTGTTGTTTAGCAACCTCATTTATCAAAACAGAGTGTAGGAGGCATGCTGCTAGGAATTGAGAGAGCCAGCAGATGCTGAAATTTTCTGAAGCAGAATAAATGGAATAGCAGGGCTTGTTTTCAAAGGGAAGTCCAGAAATTAGGCAATTATGCTGGGCTCTGAGCCCAGCTAAACAATCTGTGATAGGAAAAGCTATGTTTGGATTTGGTTATCAGTGTAAAGGACGTAAGTTACAGCTTTAGGATGGTAAATGCACCATAACGCAAAGTGAAGCTGGAAGTACTGCGCTTGACTTTCTAAAGGATCTTAGTGAGAATGCAGGGGAAAAAAACATTTCACCGAGTAATGCTCATCTTATTTTTGTGATGCATGTGCATCAGTGTGTTTGTAGAAGTGTGCTGTATACCCTACTAGCCTGAAGATTTTTTGGTAAGCCAATTCCACAGAGTAATTATGAGCTTTTCTAAAAAAAAGTGAACATGGAGCTTATTCCTACAAACCAGCAAGTGTACAGAGCCCCTTTCATTTTTCTGTAGGAAATGTGCACATAAAGATTCAATTCCCATTATAACATACTGAGAATAAGTGCGGTAATGTTGGGAAGTTTATGATAGGGAATAATAGTTTTAAGAAGAAATGGAATTATTGTGAAGATTATAGCATTTTCTTCCGCTTTTTTAGTGAACAGAAAAATATTTTGGTAACATGCACATGATATTGTACGCCGATTGTACACTGTTATGGATTTCAGTCCTGGTTCTGTGTTCCTTTCTTCCCTCCCCATCTGTGCTTGGGTAGGGAAAAGGTAGGAGTTGCTCCAAACTAGCCTTCTGATTTATCGTGAGCTAGGAAATTCTTCATAGCACAAAACATCATCCGTCTAGCTAGAGTTACGACACCAATTGATCCTGAAGGTTGTCATTGCACAACTCTTTGGGTTTGAGCCCTGGGCAGAATGGGAAATCATACAGGCTTGTCTATGGCGCTCTTAATTCCACAAGGCAAGTGAGAGAGATTTGAAAACAGTGATTTAGTAAGTCACTCTTTTTCCAGTCCTTAACTTGGAACATCCTTGGGTAGTGGGAAGGATGTTTTCATGTTTCGGGAATTAGTATGCTACCTTGGATTTTGTGAATCACATTGTTTTGGGAAGTTTTTACATTAAGGTTGTTCTGGGTTTTGAGTGGGTTTTTTCTTTTTGTGGAAGGGTGGTATACATGCTGTAAACTCAAACTGTAAACTGAAACAAGCGGAAATATTTCAGAAGGAACGTTTCTATAAAATTGCAGTGCTGAATCATTTTTAAGCTCTTAAAACACAGGACTCCCTTCACTCCTGTCAGTACGGTACTTTTTACAAAAATACTTGGCATTCATAAGGTACTTGATCACTTGAACATGCATAAATATGTTTAATTAATCCTTTCAGTGCCTCTGAGGAAGTTAGGTATTACTTCTTTTTAGCAGTAGAGAAAAATGACACAGTAAATTCAAGTGTCTTGATCAAAGGCATGCAATTATTTACAGACTATTACTGTTCCTTGTAGTGCAAAAAATACTAAACTTAATTTTGAAGAATGTAAAACTGGTTCTTTATTCAGAATTGGGAATATAAACATACTCTGTAGATCTTGACTGTTTGCCTCCCAGAATTTATGTGGGGCCTCCTCTTACTGCTGTCTGTAACCTGGGCAAAGCTCACTTGGGAGGGACTGTGGACTAGAAGATGCTGAGGCAGGACTCCTTGACATTGTAAGCTTGTCTTCATTCATGTAAAACACGGTGTCTCCCGTTTCAAACTAAACCAAGAGACATAAGGCAGAAACGAGAAAGAGGCAACATGTAAGGGGCACACATAATAGTAGTTCCTAAAGCAAATACAAGGAATGTGGTGTCATAATTCCACGTTGTGATCTGCTTATGAGACTAGCCTTATACATAAGGGATACTCCATGGCTTTTAGAAGTAAGTACCTGTTGAAATACAGTCTTGTGTGGGTTTTTTTTTTTATTAGACTGCTGTATAATATTGATAGCATTTTAATGGCTAGGAGATTATTTTTGAGTTTGAAGTCTAAGTGTGGAGCTGCTAGTTAATTAATTTCTGATAAATAGTGACAGAATTATTCTGTATACGTAGTAAGTTTGTGTTTGTGTATATCCATAGGTCATGAATGCTGACGGAACTGGGAGAAGAGTTCTGGTGGAGGACAAGCTGCCTCATATCTTTGGATTCACGTTGCTGGGAGACTACGTTTATTGGACAGACTGGCAAAGACGCAGTATTGAACGCGTACATAAGCGCACAGCAGAAAGAGAGATCATCATAGATCAACTGCCTGATCTAATGGGACTGAAAGCTACAAACGTCCGCCAGATAATTGGTGAGTGAGACTGCTAATCAGGCAAGTAAAATGAAATAGAAAATTTCAGCAATGCTATTCTGCACATACCATTTTATACCAGGTCAGATTTTTAGAAATGGGCAGAATCCAGTTCGATTGCATGATAACTGCAGGCTGCAGTTTGATGGGATGGGGTAGGTCTCGTGAGGTGCTTCAGTTCTCTAACTTGGAAGAATATCAAGCTGGAAAACAACCAGGCACCCCCCAAAATGGGTAATTTTTCTGCTTCTTGAGGAACTGGAGCAGCTTATAAGTCTGAACAACCCTGGATCCACTAAAGAGAGGAGAAGGATCATGGGAAAAGAGAACTTCTCTTTGTAACAGCCAGCTATTAGATTAGCCCAGCTGTTTATGAAGCTGCAGCTGTAGCAGCTTTTCATCTTGCAATCTGAACATGTGCTCCTGGTATGCAAAAGCTAAGAAAGCCAGTTTTAGTCTGTCCAGTGCTTTTCACATTAATACTGCAAAATTATCTTTAAAAATAACTGGAAGTACTTTCTGCCCTGTAATGTCTGTGGTGTAAAAAAAGCAGGAACTAGCTTTAAATTGGCTGTCGTTGGCTATCCAAACATGGTAGCAGTGTAACTGTAGCGTCACAGAGCTCATTGTGTTCCCTGATTATCCTGCTATGTGGATAGGGCTTAGCTTCTTGCTGCCATGTCTGGATTGTACCCCAGGAAATCAGTCAAATGTAGTTGAGGTGTCTCTTTGCGTTGCTGCTACCATGTTAACAAGATGCCCTAAGGTACGTGTGCTTTAAACGCAGCCTTCTTTCCAACTGTTTGGCTAATTGAGCTTCGTAATGCTGGGCCTCTCTTAGTAGGTGGATTTCCAGCTTGTGCAGGTACAAGTTAGTATTGCAAAGAGCTGCTTTACTAGCATCCTGGAGAGAAGAGACCATTGAATGGATGTGAAAATAGATCTGCAAATTTTTCATCTCTAGGAACACAATTGGGGTATGTAACTGGACCAGTGTACTGTAAAAGGCAGCAGAACATATGCTTGACATACTTACCGTCTGTTCAGTGCTTGTGCTATGAGTTGGGAACATCAGTAGCTTTTGGAGTCCAGACCCCTTTCCTTAACACTGGGGTCAGGAAAACAAGCACTGGCTTTCCAGCCAAGTAGAGTAACTTCTGTCCAAAGGATTACAAGAAATGAACAAAAATTAATTCATTCAGAGAATAAAAGGTGAAAAACTCTTACCTGTTTCTTAAAGGAGTCATAGTGTTGTTGATGCGTGTGAGGACTGGCTTCATCTTCTAACTTAAGTCAGTTTGCAATGACTGCTTTTGCTTTTGTTGCACGCTTAGGTACAAACCCTTGTGCAGAGGATAACGGGGGCTGCAGCCATCTTTGTCTGTACAGACCACAAGGCCTTCGCTGCGCTTGTCCCATCGGCTTAGAGCTCATCAATGACATGAAGACCTGCATCGTCCCAGAAGCTTTCCTGCTGTTTTCTCGGAGAGCGGATATCAGGCGAATCTCTTTAGAAACAAACAACAACAACGTTGCTATTCCACTCACGGGAGTCAAGGAAGCTTCTGCTCTGGATTTTGATGTGACGGACAATCGGATTTACTGGACTGACATTTCACTGAAGGTAGAGGTTTATTCTATATTGGCTATTAAGTTGTTAGAAGGTTCTTGAGATACTTAAGAATGGATTGACAAACGCATTGTACTAGATTCAAGGGATAGGTAGAAGAGCTTGTTCTAAGTAGGGATGCCATACATTTTCATTATACTTCCAGCATTCTCTTCTATAAATCATTCATATCAGGTTTGCATGGCAAGGTTTTGGGAGTGGCGGGCTACAGGGGTGGCTTCTGCCCCAAGTCCAATGGAGT